GCGACCCGATTGTAAGCAAAGACAAACATCATTCGCTGCTTGTTTAACTTGTACCTAGTCCCCATATGAATATAATGGCTCGAAGATAATTTATTGAAAATCTTCATAACCTTGCCAACCACTTTTCCTAATAGACTCTCCGCACCTGGGATCACCATAGTAAAATGTCCTCGTGGAAAGGTTCGATTTGCCTGGCATGAACAAGGATGTGAATGCCTGGCTACAAACGCGTCTTAGATGCCAGTCGCGCAAGTTAAAACACCAGAATAAATTACAAACATACTGCTCTGCTATGCGCAAATGCACTGTTCCCAATGTGCAACGAAATTGCGTAGGGCCTTGCCTTACTCCAAATGGCTTCGGTCACGTTGCAAGTGTCAGTGCCTGCTCTCAAAAATGTCTACCCAAATTTTAAGAAAAAGTTTGAATAAGGCATTTGTAGATAAGTAAAATCGTAAGATGTGTCATCTGGGAGGGGAAATCGCAAGATGTTTTCCACACACCAAGATACCAGGATTTTAACCGATGTCTTTTTAATATCTTGAAGAAAAAGCAATCGATTTAAAAGGACTGCGTAACACCTGTACGCAGTGTTACCTCGAAAGCTCTGGCAGATTATTTTTAAGCAACTGCCCCCCTTGTTTCAAATGGCCAGAGACCATGATACATCCTTCAACATACTGTTAGCTGACTCAGGGAGCAATCACCTTTCAAAAAATAGGTAAAAATGATGAATAAAACAAGAATAACATCTTCCTAATGCAACCGCTGGGAGCTGGGAGCATCCTGCCAAATAATTTGAAGAAAGCGTAATGTCAACATTAGTCACAAAATCAGGTAAGAGCCGAGCAGACAGAAAGAAAACTGAAATTTAACAAACGAAAAAGGACTGTTGGGCAAAGTCCGAAATGTTCTTTTTAGTTGGAGGTCGAAAGTAAGCCGAATCGTTTAGTAATCCATATGTCCGCCGGTGTGACTTCCACTCGAGAACCGTTGAGGAAGTGACAGATCTCTAAAAGTCCACCCTTAAAGGCTGTCTTGTCTGCGAACTTGACTAAACCTTGATGACCGCAGCATCCCATGTTTCCATCGGGAACTATTTTGACGTTTGCGACATCGCCAAATTTGGAAAAGTAACGTTCAAGATCGGCTTCTGTGGTTGGTTTTTTCAGGCGACGGACGGAAATGGTCATTGTGTTGGGAATTAAAGAGGGTATTCCTTTGTTGGGAAGCCTGTGGGGTAAAAACAATACCAACAATCTATTAACACTTTGTTCTTTTAACATCTGCAAGCTCCTGCATACCTTTCAGTTTTTGTTTGAGCCTCTTTATTTACAACACACTCATTTGTCAATGGTTAACTAATATAGTCCTTGTTAGCCTGAAGGTACGCAGGATGCTACATGCTAATAATAACCTAAAATACATTGATGCAAGGTAATAAAAAGATAAAAATTCCACGCGAAAACAGTTGTGTTAATGCCCTGTGTAAATCACATTTCGTGATTTTTCA